CCGTTCACCACGCTGGCCGTCAGCCAGCCGGCCGAGTCCGTCACACACGTCCAGCTGCACCGACCCGCCAAGCTCAATGCCATGAACAAAGCCTTCTGGAGGCAAGACCAACACTCGGCTCCGCTTTCAGTTCTTCAACATTTAACTTCTGGAAAATCTGGATTTTTTGTTGATTTTTTTTCTGGGTTTCCGTAGTTCAGGATGATGTCATCGCGCCCAGGGCGGCCGTCTTGTTTAAGCGTGTTTTTCTATTTATTAGGGCTCTGAGTGTTGGGGCCAGGCTGCGATTTTTTTTGTTTTTTATGGTTAATTACAAGAGTAAAACAAGAATATTGCAATAATTAATTAATACGACAATGAAGTCGAAATAATGCGAGAATAAAATATTAATATTACCAGAAAACAGTCGTACTATAAGGAGAATAAAGTAATAACTTTATGATTAAACCAAATTGAAATGAGGAAAGTTGAGCATCTTGTAAAGTTTCACAGGCTGAGCTGGTCCGTTAATCCTGAAGCTTTTCTCATCAAAACAAAGTTTTTTCTGGTAATTTTAAGACTTTATCTGGTAAAGTTGCGGCTCTGTTCTCCACAGTTCAGTTCACAGAAGGGAGGATTAAAGTAAAACCCACTTTCTGAGAATATTTTCCATCACTTGTAATTTATTTTTTATTATTAAAACCAGAAATCAGATTTAATATGAAAAAATCAGAGATTTATTTTTGAGCCACATTAAGTATCAGTGAAATGGAAAGTAGAAGTTTGTTATTGTTAAATATGGCGCATCTCTGCCAGTTTAGCATAATCATTTTTAATTCATATCTTTAGTTTACATCAATTTTCTTGTTTTTTTATGTTCTTTATTCAAATTAGGAATTAATTTTACAAAAAAAGTCCTGTTAGGTCAGACTGTAACCAGTTAAAATGTGTTTTTTAACCCTAAATTCAGAAATAAAAAGGTTCAGTCATTTTCAAGATACAGTTTTAAACCAAGAATTTAGTTTCTACCGTAACAGCTTCTACAAAAACTGTAATAAATAAATGTACATAAATATTAACTTTATGGTAAAAAAAATGTCATAAATTCCCTCAAACCCGGTGGCTGCACAACTTTGGCTCGGGTAACATTAGCGTCTCTGAATTAATTTTATTTATCTGGTTTGAGGCTAAAAATCTCTCCAAGATTGTAAACACTGCTGACCTTTGACCCAGATATTAAGAGGCTTTTATAGATTTCAAATAAAGTTTAGAAATTATTTTAAACCAGCAACATTTTCAGGTGGAAAATCCTAATGGTGCAACTACATTTCACAAACTTCCCCAAGTTCTAGAAGGGTGGTGTAGTTTTTCCTTCCACTCAACTTTCTGTGAATGCTATATTTGACGTTTTCAGTTTTCTAAAGCTCAGAGACACTGAATCTGGGGTTTTAATTAGGCTAAAAATAAGTCATTTATCATGAATTTAGTTAATAGTTCGTCTTTTTGAGATGAGCTTTTGATAATTTCATTGTTTTGTTACAAATGGAGGTTTTTCCCGTTGTAGGGAGATGGTGGAGTGTTTCCAGCAGATCTCTGACGACCAGACCTGCAGGGTGGTGCTGATTTCTGGAGCGGGGTCGACCTTCACAGCAGGTGAGCGTCCGTCTGGCTGGAAGCGGGCCTTTAGTAGAAATACGTTTATGTAACCTTTCATATAAAACACATAAACAGTGAAATGCAGAAAATACTCAAATTAGTGCAAACAGCTGCAGAAATCTAAGAATCTGTTTCCAGTCTCTGAAGTTTGTTTCTTTAAATGCAAAAATCAATCTGCTCCAGTACGACGGCGGATTAATGCCACTGGAAATGTATAAAAAACAGGAAGAGCACATTTCTGCCATAAACAGCTCACAAATTTTACCAATAAAAAACAGAAATTCTGATGAATTTAAGAAAATTTCTAGAAAAAAAATAAACAAGGAAATGTGCAAGAATTTTAAGATAAACAAAAAAAGCTGGAGGTTTCTGAATTTCAAATGACACAAATTTTTCTAGAACATTTCTGAGACTTAATCACCGAATTTCTAAGTTTTTGGCAGGAATGTACTCCTTTATTTCTACCTACGAAGCCCCTGGGAGGCCGTTGTAAAAATCCCTTTAAGTTTTGGATCTACATTAAAAATCGAGTTACTTTATTTGCTTGATTTTAAGTCGGATTGTTTTATCGACAATTTTGGCCCACATGGAAAAAGTTAGTACTCCCCCCCCAGTGGATGAAACTGAGATAGGAATAACAGACAGATGGCCACTCTGAGGTGAAAATAAACAGCTGACTCTGTGGGCAACGCCACGATGCCGCCGCCGGGTTCTGATCCCATCTGACCTGCCGCCGTCCAGGGCTCGACCTGATGGACATGGCGGGCGACATTCTGCAGCCGGAAGGCGACGATTCGGCGCGGATCGCCTGGAACGTCAGGAAACTGATCAAGAGGTACCAGGAGACGTTCTCCGTCTTGGAGAAGGTAAATGCTGTGTGGGAGGACCGGCGGTCAGAAAGGCTCATCAGACGCTCAGGGTTCACTTCTTCTTCTTCTCCTGCAGTGTCCAAAGCCGGTGGTGGCGGCGGTCCATGGAGCCTGCATCGGAGGAGGTAGGACGCCATCAAGATGGCCGACATAAATCCAGCAGTGAGAAGCGTAACAAAGACATGAAGTCATTGCTTATTTTTACTTGATAAGAAACCTTTAATTACATTTTTAAAAAATTTACAGTTAAATTTACTTAATCTGAAACTGCAAGGATTTTATTAATTTGAGTTATTTTATTCAGGAAAGAGAAGGTCCTTTGTTTTTACTGGTACAAAGTCCTTCACTGTAAAAATTAAATCTTTCCAAGTATTTTTAGTCAAATATCTCAGTACGTGTGAAATAAGACAAAACTTACAAGTGATTTAACTGAAAACTTTTATGTTGGCTACCAAAAAACATAAAAAAACAGATATAAATGTTCTAAATTACAAATTTATTTCATATTTTCATGTTAAATCCTAAAAATGTAGAAAAAAAAATCTTTTAAAACCCGTTTCTGCCTTTTCTCACCGATTAAATGTTTTATTTAGCCTTTAGATGCTATAAATTCATTTAAAACAGAGCTGCAGCTGATTAATTAAACCAGATTATTGATCGTTTCTAATAATTATTGGTTCTTCCTGCAGGCGTTGACCTGATCACAGCCTGTGACATTCGGCTGTGCACCCAGGACGCCTGGTTCCAGGTCAAGGTCAGGAAACGGGTCAAAACTCAGGAATAGTTGCAGCTGGACAAATGATGCACTAATATATCAACATATTGCTTTGACACAATTTCAAATCGTTTTGTGTCTTAATTACCTCATATTCTAATAAAGTATTTAAAAGTAGCTTAAGCTACAACTGATCTTCCTGGCGCCATGTTTAATTCCTAACAGGAAGTTGTGGTTATTTGAAGCAATCTGATTGGCTGACAGGTTTTGGCTTTGTGCTGCACTGCCCCCTATGGGCTGGCATGTTTAAAGCAACACTGAGTGGCGTGTTTGTGGATAGGAACGTTTCGGAAACCATTCCTGCTTAAGATGTGGCGGACATGTTTGTTTTTATGGAGACTGAGCTGCGTGTGGATGAAGGACCATAAGTTTCTCTGGAGTTTTTCACTCTTTGAACTTCCCTGTTAAAGTTAGCAGCTCAGTCTTGATGGTTGGGAACGTTCTGAGCGGTTCCGTCTGATCCGAACCGTTTCCTCAGCGTCTCCGTTTCACAGGAAGTGGATATCGGTCTGGCGGCGGACGTAGGAACGCTGCAGCGGCTTCCTAAAGTGATCGGCAGCCGCAGGTAAAACCCAACCCGACCGGGTTCTGGTCCGCTGGTTTCGGACTCGGCCATGTTTATTCGCAGGAACCTTGAGTTGAAAGGTCATGTGTGGTGTGTGCAGCCTGGTGAACGAGCTGGCTCTGACCGCCAGGAAGATGTACGCCGACGAGGCCAAGAGCAGCGGACTGGTCAGGTAAAAACCCAAAGCGATGGATTATGAAACATCAGTTTAAATATGAACACAAGACAGATTTTACACAGTCGGGGATTTGGCCTCATCACTTTAAAAACTTTACTCATTTTTCCCCCCAGATTTTATTTTCTGTAAATGTGACATTTTCAGCAATCCTTATTTTGTGACTCCCGTTTCGAGCTGCAGCCTGAACGTGCTTGTCGCTGCAGCCGGGTGTTTCCAGACCAGGAAGCCATGATGGCCGGCGCGCTGGACATGGCGGCGGAGATCGCGGCACGCAGCCCGGTGGCCGTGCAGGGAACCAAGATCAACCTGATCTACTCCAGAGATCACAGCGTCGCCGAGGGACTGGACTACATGGTTCGGCACCCCGCTGCTTTTATTTACATCATCATCTGCTTATCTTAAAGTTTATAATAATGTTCATTTGGCCTGTTTATCTTTATTAGTTTATATTTTTTAGTCTTTTTGATTTGAAGTTTTTTGCATTTTATTAGTCGATATATTAGGTTTATTAGAATAGTTTTATTTTGTGTAATTTTATTTTTTTAAAGTTCATATCAGATAATATTCATGTTTATTTGATCTGTTTAGATCTTTGTTATTTGAGTTTGATTTTTTATCGGTTTCAGTATTGGATCATGCTGATCATATAAAGTAAAACGTTGGCTGCAGTTCTTCCCGTCTGTCTCTGCAGGCGGCCTGGAACATGAGCATGCTGCAGACCCAGGATGTGATGAAGTCGGCTCAGGCCGCCATGGAGAAGAAAAGCCCCAAAGAGACGCTTTTCTCCAAACTCTGAGCCTCTGCTGACTGTTTTCATCTCCAGATTATTCTCTTCAGCCACCAGATTAACACCGACCTCCTGGATGATCGGTTTGGGCTCTCTAATCTTTATAACTTTGGTTTCTTGTTGCGAATTAATTATGTTTAATAAATTCATCGGAATAAATGTTTATTTGTGCCAAACATTAGTCTGAGCCCAATCTTTAAAAAAATCTGAGTTTTTATTAAATAAAGGTGATAAATTAAAACGTTGGCGTCTGCTTGGCTCGGAGCTTCTGCAGCGTTTTCTGTGGAGGGAAACCAGAGTGAGCTGCGGTTCTGCTGCAGGAACCCAAGGCGGAAACGCTCCTACCCTGTGGAACTCCTTGGCCCTGAGCCGGTTCCTGGCCCAGTCCTCCTGCCGGCTGCGGGCCGCTCGCTGCTGCTTCACCTCCTCCAGCTGCTCGTACAGCCTGAACACACACACACACACACGGCGCTCACACACTGCTCAGAGCACAGACGGCCCGCCCCGGCCCGCCGGTACCTCTGGGTCCGCTGGTGCATCTCTGACAGGTTCCGCTTCCTCTGATCCGGATCGCTGATCCGGACGTCGGTTCCGATGTGAGGACCGGAGCGGCGACCTGAGAGAAGAACCGGGTCGCAAAATTCTGTTAAAACGACGTCTGTAGATGAACGAATCAGAACCAGGATGGAAAAAAAAACAACAAAAATCTGTAAAACAGCGAAACGCAGCCAGAGAAACTAGTTACATTTACTAAACATTTTGGAAAAAGAGCTCTGACAAAACTATTTTATTCTCAGAGAGAATAAAAGGACGAGAATTATGAAACGGTTATGAGAAATTTGTAAGCTGAGAAAATTGTAATAACACGAAAAGTCGTACAACAGTAAGTCGTAACAATGCGATAAAAAGACGTCCTGAGGTTAAAGTCGTAGACCTTATAAGGTGTGGTACCTGGTGGAGGTGGGCGGAGCTTCCTCTCTGCTCTCTTCCTGTCCTCCGTCGTGCTCTGGGACTCGGCCGTCTCCTTCCTGGGGACGGTCTGGACCTCGGCTCTACCTGCATCTCGTCCTTCGACCAGAACCCGACTCGGGGGTCCGTTCCTGGCGGCGGCCCGCTTGGCTTTGATCTCCTGAACGCGGTGGTCGGACCGCTGCATGAGAACCCGGCGCCGCCGCTGGAAGACGTCATGCTGGTTCCTGCTGGGACTCCAGAGGAACTCCAGGAGGGACGCTGGACACGGGGACCAACAAGATGGCGGCCATAATCAAGATGGCGGCTTTAAGGCCTCACGTGATGCTTCGACCTGAGCAGCTGATCTGTCTGTACCTGATGGCGTCTGATGAGCCAACGTGGTTTCAGCCCCCTGGTGGACAAAGTGTGCCGGTTAGAAAAATGTTGATATTTGTTCAAACTGTCACCATTTGTGACGTTTTCTTGCAAATATTTTACTTTTGAAACACAAATTTTCAATTTTTTTCAAGAACATTTCTGAGACTAATTTCAATGTTTTCTGTCTACATTGTTCATTAATATGTTGTATTATTCTGATAAGTTTAACAAACAAAAATATTTTTAATTAAAGTTACTGCAGATTCGATGTAAAGCTGAGATAAATGAACCTCTGTTGGCTCCGTTTCCATGGTTTCCTGTCCATCTGCGATGCTGTCTGGACCGTCCTGCAGTCCCTCGTCGTCCGTGGCGACCGCATCCTGGAGCGTCGTGTCCGTCAGACTCACCAACGTGATCTGAGACTGCTCCAGGATGCCTCTCTCCCCGTCCGACTCCTACAGAACCACAAATCCACCTGGTTCAGATCCAGCAGGGGGAACTAACAGTACAGCGCTAAAAATACTCCTGAAAGTACTTTTTCCCCCAAAACTTTACTCAAGTAAATGTAACTAGTTACTCTTCAGCTCTGCATAACACGCAGCGCTACGCTAGCTGCTGCTGCTGTTCATTTAATTTTCCACACAACTTAAAATGATCAGTTTTAGATTTTCTGCACCTGATCGAACCTTAAAATGATTCTTGTTTTCTACGTCAGTCAGATGAAAACATACCGGTGTGATTTCTGAGCTGGAGAAATCCTGACCTTCACCGACTGGGACGGAAACTCTGGAGGATTCTGCCTCCGACGAGCCGAGAGCGGACGCTTCCCCGAACCCGCAGGGCGGCGTCCGCAGGGCGGGGGACATGTGGGACACGCAGGGCGGTGTCAGGACTCCGTCCTGCTGGACGCACTCGGAGATGACGAGCCGGGAGAAGGACTCCTCAACGTCTCTGTGGCCGTCCGGCTCCTCCGCTCTCAGCTGCTCCAGCGACGGATCGTCTGATGTGTTGAGGTCAGGAAGGTGAAAGGTCACAGGGGGGTCAGCGGTTTCGTTGTGGGTGATTTCTGGGTGCAGCGGGTGGAACGAATCTGAGTGGAGAGAGAAAGACGAGTCGTTTCAGTCCAACTTTATTTCTGAAGAACAAAAAATGTAGGACTAAAATGATTAACTGATTAATCGATTATTAAATTAGTTGACAATTATTTCTGTAATCAATTAATAGATATCTGGAGTGAAGACACTCAAAAACTGCTGGTAAAGATAATATTTTAAATAAACAATCGTTTGTCCTGGTGGGAGCTGGTTAATCCTGGCAGCCCGCCAGGCTGAGGGAACCCAGAACACCAAATGACAGGAATCGGGTTTAAATGAGAAACACTCCTGATGTTTTCTCTCACCGTCGGCGCCGTGCGGGTCCAGGTCCTCCAGCCCGGCTTGGTTCTGCAGCACCGGGATCGAGGCGGGTGGACTCTGAGCCAGGCGGCGCTGCAGTCCTGATGTTTCTCTGGACTCGGCTGCAGAACTTCGTCCACCTGAATTCGGTCATTAATTTAAATTTAAATTATCTTTAACTAAAAAGCCAGAAATGATCCAGAATAAAACACACCGGAGCTTTCACTGAGCTGATCGGCAGAGACCTGCAGCTCCCCGACCAGAACCCTCATCTGGACCTCCTCTGGCAGCTCATCCGACCAGGACGGTTCCGACGTGTCATGACCAGCCCAGAAACCCGGACTGTCGGACTGTTGAGACAGGCGGCCGATCATCCGGCTCAGAGTGGAGTCCCAGCCGCTCCGACCCGGCGGACCGGGCCTGGCACCGATCATGGAGGACTGAGCCGACGGCTGGCCGACCAACCGCTCCAGAACCGAGAGCCTCTCTGGAGCCACGCAGGACGGGTTCTGCTCCGGGTCAACGGGACAGAAACGCTCCAGGGTGGGATGACCAGAGGTCATCTGCTCCTGAAAACAGCAGAAACGCTCAGAACCGGACCGGAGACCACAGGGCATTCTGGGTAAATACAACCAAAGCTAACGTGCTAGCCTAGCGCTAGCAGCAGAAATGGCTCGGGGCCAAAGACCATCTATATAGATCTATAGACATAGAGAGAGAGAGAAATCTGACGCCTCCATCTCGTTTCCAAGTCGTGCTCTGATTACATGTAGCTGGTTTATCAGATCAACCGATCAGATCTTCTGATTGATCTGACCTGGTTGAATGGATGAGTGACTGACCGGGTTTGGGTCGTGGCCGGCCACCAGGTGGCGCTGGACGAGCCGACGACGAGCCGACGTCTCATCCTCCGTCCTGGACGGCTGAGAGAGCAAAGAGCCGGACTCCTCCAGAGCGTCGCTGTCTGAGATCAACAGGAGAGTTTTTATCGTTCTGGACGTGAACCGGGCCGGACCGGGCCGAGATGGAACAGGATCCGGACCTGTCGTCGTTCCTGCGGCGCTGAGCAAGACGTCGAGCTCTCTGGTGTATTTATCGATGATGCGCTGGATGACGCTGTCGTTAAACACCGAGTCAACAGGCGGACCAGCGGAGACGGACGAGTCCGGAAAATCCGCACAGGAAACGGCACCAGAACCCGGTCCAGTCGGGTTGGAGAGCCGAGGGTTGTCTGCTGAAACCAACAGGAAGCTGGCGATCATTTTTAACGATTAGACACGTTTTCTGCTCCACAGCGGAAGGAAAAATAAAAGCCCAACAGGAAGTCAGAATTACCAGAATAAAAGCCATAATTAGTTTTATTCATAATTAAGACAATAAAAAGTCAATTAAAATAATAAGTAATAAATTTGAGTCTTAAAGTCATAATTAGTCAAAATAAAACATTTTGCTGGATGATAAATTGTCCCAGAAGTTATTGCCATAAACGATAATATTGTTGTTTTGAGAACATTTTGCAGTAATATAATAAAAATGACATCATAATAATAATAAGTAATTCCCAAAGAACAACAAACTTTAAATTCAAATAAACATTTAACACTGGAAGACATTTTAAATATCCAAAATAAATAAAAACAACAGAAACAACCAATAACATTAATTATAAAGTCTCTAAACTAAATTATCCTCCAAAATAAAAGACCAGAATGAAAACTTTTCATCCAGTTTTTGGTAGAAAGACAAAAACAATGAATCATGCAAACAGAAATTATTGAGCGATTAGTTGATTTATAGAGACATGGCAAGTCATAGTTATTATAATAACTGCAGGTTTCAGGTCTGGCTGACTCACCGACATTCTGCTCCGGGTCGGTGGAGACGTAGCTGCCGCTGGAGATGGTGGTGGAGGAGAGGCAGTCGGAGCCGGCGAGCCTGCAGAGAGCCTGAGGCAAAACTGGAGACTCACTCAGGTGTGTCTGTAAAGCACGTTTCAGCAACAAGACGGGTTAAAGCGATTTATGTAAGAAAACAAACAAAAACATTCCAGTGGCAAAATAAAGAGAAGTCATGAAAAGCTGGACTAAAATAAACGACGTGCCGGTTTTTAGTAATCGAATCTTAGGATCAGAACTAAAGGACTGAGCTCAGTTCAAGTGTAGAAACCCTCATGAAAACGTGTTTAATGGACACGATTCAGGTTCAGACGTTTCACATCATCGCTCAGTACACAGAAACACACACACACACACACCCATACCCACACACACACACACACCCATACCCACACACACACACACACACACACCACACACACACAGAAGCTTCTCCAGCGTAATCAGC